TGCTACTTTGCTGAATTCATTTATTAGATCTGATACTTTGTTCTGAAATCTTTGGGATTTTCTACATCCTAGATCATATGTAAAGATAGAACTACTTTTTCTTTTTAAATATGTATGGCTTTTATGTCTTGTTTGCTGCATTGCTCTGGCTAGAATGTTCAGTACTCTGTTGAACAGAAGTGAAAAGCATTCCTCCTTGTCTTGTTCCTGATCTAGAGGAAAAACTTGTACCACTGAGTATGATGTTCGCAGTGGGTTTTTCACATGTGGCTTTTTTGTGGAGGTAATTTCTTTCTGTTCCTGTTTTGTTGAATGTTTTTTTCAGGAAAGATGTTGAATTTTGTCAGATGCTTTTTCTTTTGATCATCAGTTGAAATGATTATGTGCTGTTTTTTCCCTTCATTATGTTGATGTGGTATATTACATTAATCGATTTTTATTTCAACCATCAGTGATTAAAATTTGAGGAAAATTGATATTCTCCAACTAAGAATTTGGTGAATTAGAAGACATCAAGTACAGAATTCTTTTGTATTGGGAGACTTTTTTTTTTTTTTTAAATTAATAATTCTATCCCCTTACTAGTTACAGGTCTTCTCAGATTTTCTGCTTGTGATTTAGTCTTGGTAGGTTTTGTTTCTAGGAATTTGTGTATTTTTTCTAGGTTATCCAATTGGTTTGGATAATTGTTAATAGTGCATTGTTAACTTTTTCCCCTATGGAATCAGTAAGCTCCCCACTTTCATTTCTGATTTTTTAAATTTGAGTCCTCTTTCTTATTAGTCCAGCTAGCTCCAGATTTGTCAATTTCTTTGACCTTTTTTGAAGAATCAACTTTCAGTTTGATTTTTTTTTCTCCCCCATTTACCGTAGGTCTGCTCTAATCTTTATTATTTCCTTCCTTCTGCTAGCTTTGTGTTTAGTTTGTTTTTCCCAGTTCTTTAAGGTGGACTTTTAGGTTATTGATTTAAGATCTTTTTGTAAGGTAGGTATCTGCAACTAATAATTTCCTTCTGAGCATTGTCTTGTTGCGTCTCTTAAATTTTAGTATTATATATTGTGTTTTCTAATTTTCTTTGTGATTTCTTTGATACATTCGTTGTTTAAAAATGTATATTTAATTTGCATAGTTTTGTGACTTTTCAAGTTTTGCTTTTGATTGCTTACTTGATCTATTATGGTCCGAGAAGATACCCTGCATGATATGAGACTTAATTGGTAAGCTGACATATGGTCCATCCTGGAGAGTGTCCACTGTGCGCTTAGGAGAATGTGTGCTCTAGCTGGGAGGCTTCTGTGAAAGTCTTTTAGGCCTGGTTTATTGTGTTAAGTCCCTTCCTTATTTTCTGTCCGGTTGTTTCATCCATTATTGTGAGGGGGGTGTTGAAGTCTCAGCTATTTATTATGGCCGAACTGTTTCTCCCTTCAGTTCTGTCAGTTTTTGCTTTATATATCTTGATGGTCTTTGATTAGGTACATAAATGTTTATATTAATAAAAGATTCAATACAGCAAATAAAAAACAATACAATTATATATTATATCTCTTTTGTAAGCTTTTTAAATATTTAAAGTCTATTTTGCTTGATATTAGTATAGCCACCTGCTCTCTTTTGATTACTATTTGCATGGAACATCTTTTCCCCTCCTTTTTCAGCCTGTTTGTATCTTCCTGTCTCAAGTGAGACTCCCTTAGACGGCATATAGCTGGGTCCTGTGTTTTTATCCATTCTGCCAATATGTGCCTTTTGATTGGAGAGTTGAATCCATGTAACTCAAAGTGATTACTGATAGGGGAATGTCTATTGTTGTGTTTATTTTCAATACTCCCATACCTTTTTATCCTTGATTTCCTGTCTTTCGTTTTTTGTTTTGTTTTTGTTTTTATAGTGAAATGTTTAAATTTCTTTCCTTTGTGTATATTCTATAGCTCTTTGTGGTTATATCACTATGGGGATTACACATAACATCCTCAAGTTATAACTCTTAATATGAATTTATTCAGCTTCACTTCAATCACACATAAAAACTGCTCCTATATAGCTCTGTTCCCACCCTTCAGGTTGTTAATGTCACAGAATTACAGAAATCTCTGTACATTGTGTCCCCAAAACACAGCTCTTTTAACTGCATTAATCTCCTGAACTATGTAGAAAACAATATTTAGAGTTACAAAATGTACAGTAATACACTTTTAAAAATGTATTAGTCTTTTAATCATCTAGAAAACAAAATGTACAGTTACAAGCCATTGTTGCAATAGCACTAGCTTTATTTTATTTTTTTTAATTGATTTTTTACAGAGAGGAAAGGAGAGAGATAAAGAGCTAGAAACATGGATGAGAGAGAAACATCAACCAGCTGCCTCCTGCACACCCCCTACCGGGGATGTGCCCGCAACCAAGGTACGTGCCCTTGACCGGAATCGAACCCAGGATCTTTCAATCTGCAGACCGACGCTCTACCACTGAGCCAAACCGGTTTCGGCAGCACTAGCTTTTACACTTGTCCAGGAGTAACCCTCACTGAGATCTTTGGAACTCCCTCAGCTGTTGTTTATCTGGGAATTTTAAATTTAACTTTGAAGGACAATTTTTCTGAATATATGATTCTCTGTTTACAGTTTTATCTTTTAGCATCCTGATTCTATCAGTCCATTTTTTCTTCTGGCCTCCAAAGTTTCTAGTGAGAATTCTGATCATATATTGATGATCCTTGACATGTGCCAGTTTTCTTCTCTAGCTGCTTTCATGATGCTCTTTTTTTGTTTAATTTTTATTTGATTTTAGAAGAAACATTGATTTGTTGCTTCACTTATTTATGCATTCATTGGTTGGTTCTTGTATGTGCCCTGACCGGGGATTGAACCCATAACCTTGGCTTATCAGGATGACTACCCAGCTAGGGAAGTTCATGATTCTCTTTTAACTTTGGCCTTTGAAAGTGTTGTGATGATGTGTATTGGTATGGGTCTCTTGGGGGCCATTGAGCTTTTTGAATGTTTGTTAATAAATTACACTGGGAGCTCTCGGCCATTATTTCCTCACATATTCTCCCTGCCCTTTTCTCTTTCTTCTTCCGGGAACCCCAAAATGCGTATCTTGGTACCCAACGGATTCCATAGGCTCTATTTGATTTCTTCAATCTTTTTCTTATACTTGTTTGTAAATTAATTTTTATTTTAGAGAGAAGGCAGAAGCATAGAGAGAGAGAAACATTAATGAGAGAGCGAGACATCAATTGGCTGTCTTCTGCATGCCCCCCTACTGGGGATTGAACCCACAACCCAAGCATGTGCCCTCACTGGGAATTCAGCTGAGGACCTCCTGGTTCTTGGGTTGATGCTCAACCACTGGGCTTTCTTACTTTTTTTTTTATTACTTAATTCAAAAAAAAATACATTTTATTGATTTTTCACAGAGAGGTAGGGAGAGGAGATAGAGAGCTAGAAACATCGATGAGAGAGACATCGACCAGCTGCCTCCTGCACACCCCACACCAGGGATGTGCCCGCAACCAATGTACATGCCCTTGACCAGAATCGAACCTGGGACCTTTCAGATCGCAGACAGACGCTATATCCACTGAGCCAAACTGGTTTCGGCTTTATTTCTTAATTTTATTGTTAGTGTTTGAGGGAGTGGGAGAGAGGGAAACATGGATTGGTTACCTTCCCTACACTCCCCAACTGGGAATCAAACCTGCAATCCAGGTGTGTGCCCTGACCAGGAATCAAACCTTTCAGTACACAGTTGATGTTCAAACATCTGAGCCACTCTAGGTGGGCCTTCCTTCTACTTTTTAATTTCCATTGTCCTGTCTTGTGCCTGCTAGAATCTGCTTTTGAATTTCTCTAGTGAATTTTTCCACTTCAGTACATAAACTATTCAGCTCCACATTTTTTTAATTGATAGTTCAATTTTGTTCACACTTCTTGACTTTTTCCACGTTCCTTTAGTTCTGGGAGCATCTTTAATAAAGTATTTGACTAGTATATCTGCCATTAGGCCTTTTTTATGGACAGTTTCTGTTGATTTTTTCCTTTGAATGGTCATACATCTCCGTTTGTACTCCTTGTGATTATTGAACACTGGGCATTTGAATCTAATAATATGGTAACTCTGTAATTCTTTTTCTCCCTCTTTTCAGGGTCTGTTGTTGGCTATGCCAAGAATCAGCCTGATGTGTAAACTAAGTATCTTTTCTGAGCCTCTCTTAGGGCACGCACATCATTAAATTCACTGTCTGTGCAGTTGGTTTTGAATGTCCTAATCTTTAATTTCTGGCTGCCCAAAAGGGGAAATTAAAAGGTCCTGGACCTTTAACTTTCCTGGGAGTTACTTCAGTTGGAGAGAGGGGGCTCGTGACAATGAGAGAAACATCATCCACCTCCCCTCGGTCTGTCCCTCTGTGATCAGAAGTGACAGTCAGCATAGGTCTCCGCTCTTGGGAGGACAGGCCCTCTTTATCCGGTCTCACAGCTGCTCCAGGAGCACGGACACAGCTGCCTGCGTCATGGTGGGCGGCTGCTCCTCTGCTAGGAGCAGACATTGATCAAAATTAACCACAGCGTGCTGTCCAAGTCTCCCCTGGAAGTTGGCAAGCCTTCAATAAATTCCAGAGCTCCACGGTAGTCACCTTCCGGCAGATTCTGCCAGTGCAGTTGTCGTCCAGGTGGGGAGACAGATTCCTGTTCTTCCATCTGCTCAGAGTCCTCTCCAGCCCTTTGTGAGGAAATGTGTGTGTGTGCTGATGGTAATGACCCAGTAGAGAGAAAACAAGCTGTTGTGCAGGTAAGCTTGAATTTGTTAACAGTCATTCCATTGTTTCCTGCCATTCTGCTCGGTACATAAAACATATTCCGATATTCTTGGCAGTGATGTGAGTTTCAGGTTGAGCCAAAAAGATTTTTAAAATCATGATGTCAAAAGTCTATAATGTTCACCAGTGTCCTGTGTGTTGAACCTCCAGTGTAAACTCTGGCCATGGTTTCTCCTGCAGTGCTACAACTGCGAGGAGGAGGCCATGTACCACTGCTGCTGGAACACCTCCTACTGCTCCATCAAGTGCCAGCAGGAGCACTGGCACGCCGAGCACAAGCGCACCTGCCGCCGGAAAAGATGAGGAGGCCCGCGAGGCGCCGCCTGCTCTTCTCAGACACAACGGTTTTTGTTTCCCAGAAGCCAAACTTGTTTAGAATTTGCTTCCCGTTTGCACCAGCCTTTAAACACTTTCCGTGAAGAGGTTTTGCACAGTTTAAATCTTTTGTTAATGTCCCTCTGAAATTTTTCGGGGGTAAAAGTAACATCAGTGGAGGGTATTATTTTAAATAAAATTTAATTGAGAATTTGTTGCATTTACAGCAAATTTTAAAACATTTTTAGGTTTTACAGAGATTTTAACCTTTAAACAACAGATCTTTAAAAAAAAACAACTGGTGAACACTGAGTTTAACAAACCTTTAAAATAGATCTGAATGTAAGAACTACAGGACTGTTTCAGAAATAAAACATACTACCTTGATGTGAAATTTATTTCTTAACCTTGTTGAGCTGGTTTTGTTCAGCTTAATTTACTGTTTAAAGGCATTATCTATTGGTTATGCCAGTGGGTATATGATTGAATTTAGGGAACAGGGTTGACACAGCAGGTGCTAGTCCTGCATATTTTTTCTTAAATATTTCCCAATTGTGTTTTTCATTTTCTTTTCAATATATAACTTTTATAACAAATTATTAGCTTTGATCTCGTAGTTTAAAATTGCAGGGAACTGGGTAATCTTTTACTGAGCTGGATCTTAGAGAAAATGAATATTTAAATTTTAAAGTTTGCACATTTCATCTTTATCCTAACATGAGTGCTTGTAACAAAATAAACAACAAAAATAAGCCAAAAACTACCTTAATCCATACATGAAATTATAGATGGGGCATACAAATTTATTTACTGCTTCCCTTCCCTCCCCAAATATCGATTGCCTATTATCTGGTGTCACCTCATATATTATAAGTTAATGCTAAAAGGAAAGAAAGCACTTAAGTTTCACAGAAGCCGTTATGTTTGTGGTAATGGGTCATTGCCTACTAATGAACCCCATCACTGTACACAGAATGAAGAATAATGCATGTTAATTTTCTTGTATTAAAGATGCTGTGGTTTGTAAAAAGTCTGTATTTTGCGGAATGTCTGGATGAAGAAGCATTACCAATAGGAATGGATCGATAGTTGAATAATGATTTTTTTTATACATAGATATATAAAATACAGCCAGAAAAACTGAAATTACTTTTTTTTTTAAGAAAAAAAATATCACAATTTATGTTTTTTCAAAGTCTGAGCTTAGACCAAGTCAAATTCCCATTTATCATTTAGTTATTTTTTAAGGTTAGAGAAATAATTTGTAAATATTTATTTAGACCTTTGATATTTATTAAAGCAATTACACACAATGGAAGTGAAAGAATCAGGAGAAAAACCTTTTAAAAAGTTTTCTCTAGGTTTGTCAGGGTCACTCTAAAGTTAAAAATGTAACCAAGTCTTTTGTGAAATAATCATTCACCCAGTCCTGGTGCTGCTGCAAATGGCAGTGACACAGATTAATTGACAAGCTGCTGCCCCGTGGTGCCCAATGGCTCGTAGGAACTGCCTGGCACCGTCTCCACACCGCCCCGACCTGCGCAGTGGTTGCATCTCGTCCTTCCTTGTTGCTGTGATTAGTGTTGCCACGTGCTGTGCTCTGGTTGAGACATCGTAACCAAGAACACTTACCTTCTCTTGATCGTTTTTCAAGTTTTAAAACTTCGATCCACCCCTATGAGAGCAAGTTATTGTGGAAATACTTTCAATGTAAAACCATTCCAGAGTGTGTACTATTTACTGATAGCTGCATGGACGTAAGGTTTGTGTTACTTTGGCTTTTTTTTGTCTCCGTTGACACGGTTGCACATTTCCAAGTTACTACAGCGTGAAAACTGTGTGTAAAAAAAAATTTAAAAAGAGGTTGTGGCCTGGTTTTGTAAACGTTTTAGGTAAAATTACAATGGATTGTTTTAGGAATCATTATTAAAATATTTCTGCAAATCATAAAGCTATATCAAGATGTTGAGCTTAGCCACTATGCACATTGTAATTATTCATTGTGGCTGTCCAGTTCTATGATGCATTCTGGCATTTTGTAAGCTGCTCTGACTAGCAATATATAGATTCATTTAATGTGTTAACATTGGTTAATAAATGTATTTAAAAAAGCTGGTTTTGATACATTGGTGATTTAGTCCAATTCGCTTTACCAAACCAAATACTGTTGTCACATGAAGGTCATGCACAGTGGGCTGTGCATGGGTGACTGTTTATATGAAAACAGTGTATGGAAAATCATTCATTCACGTAAACATTTAAGTTGAACTTAACATTTTTCAGCTTTCAGAAAGACTCAAAATACTTCAACCAGTTCTCAAAACATTCAGGTTGTTAATTGCAAAGCCTGTTTCCTTAATCCTTAGCAGAAAATTATTCCATAAACACCAAGTTTGCCAGTAGCATCAGTTTCAATACATCTAGAATCTAATCCACCGTCACTCCACTTCTCCCACCAGTTTACGTGACCAGTCTCCGCTCACGTCAGCATCACCCTCCTTCACCCTCCTCCTCGGGCAAGAACTGGCGTGACCCTCTCTTTTGCCTCCAGTATCTAACGCAGTGGTTCTCAAACTGCGGAAGCAGGATCACAGGAGAGCTGCTCAGACATTGCTGGCCTGATGCATGCTTTTGCATTCTAACTAGTTCCCAATGTTGCTGACGGGCCCACCCTTTCACAATGACAGGGCTGCCTAATTGAAATGCCAGGAGAATCAATACACCATTTCGTGAAAAATTCATGTACACACACACACACACACACAAAATGGGTTGCACAATTTTTTTTTTTATTTTTTTTTTACAGATTCCTAGGTCTCTGTAGACTCCCCACCCCCAGGACTCTGGTCCCTCAGGTTAATCCCTGACCCAATGGAACTGGAGAAGCAAAAATGTGAGGAATAAGGAGACAATGGCATCCTGTACTGTGCTATCAGACCTCAAATTCACGCCCACATGATCACTTGGGGGATCTCCTTAAAGTGCAGAATCTGACTCCGTAGGTCTGGGGTCAGTGGAGTGGGTAATTCTGCTCTTTCTCATAAGCTTCCATGTCTGGTTCTGCTGGCCACGGAACGCCCCAGAGGCCAGGTGTTAGAGGGTATGTACAGTCACAAAACAAACTGCACAAAAGTGCTGTCAGGTGAAAATATGTAATATGGGACACCTGTGCAATTCTAAATTTTCTAATAAAGGGTGAAAACGTTAATATAGAATGAATAGTTTACATTCTTGTTTTGTACTAAGTCTTCAAAATCCAGTGTGTGTCATGCTCAGCACACCTCTCCTTGGACCAGCCATATTCCAACATAGGCGGCTGGTGACCACCCCACATTGGACAGCAGCCTTCCCCTCCCTCCCCCCCAGGTGTGTGTCCTCATCAGCACCTTCCTTGTAGTTAATACTCAACCAGCAAATGTGTATTAGAGGACCTTGATATGTGGAGCCAATAAAAAATCGGTCTTCATTAGAATTTGAGCTTTGAGGGTAGGCTCAAGCCTGGTCTGTTTCAGAGTCGGATTTGAGAGGATAGCAATCCAGTCAAGTTCTAAGTTGGCATTTCAATTAGGCAGCCCTGAAAAAGCTTCCTAAGATTCCGTTTGGCTCAATTTGAAAACCTGTATCTCGTCCAATTTTTCAACCTTATGCTGGAAAGGAAGCTGAGACCCAGAGCTGCTCAAAGTCAATGTCCATGCTCCTAACATGGCTCTTCTCACAGCCCCTTAAAGACTGCAGGCGGCTTTATAACGACTTGCAAAGACAAAAAAATAGCTCCTATTTAGAAATAAGGCAGAGTATAACTGAAGGTGGAGAATGCTAAGGAAATTTAGGAGACGGTATAGACATTTTCAGTTCATTCATGTAACAAGTACTTGAGCCCTATCTGATTTGGCTAACAGGATCGAGTCTGTGGACTAAAGTAAAGGGTCCCAGGTTCGATTCTGGTCAAGGAGAGATGCCCAGGCTGCAGGCTCAATTCCGTGCAGGAGGCAGCTGATCAATGATTTTTCTCTCATTATTGATGCTTCTCTTCCTCTTCCTCTCTGAAATCAATACATTAAAGCACGCACACACAAATACTTGAGCTATATCATCTGTGTTCAATGCTGATCATATGATAATGAGCAAAATAGACATACTTGCTGTCCCTTTAGAGTTTACATTCTAGTGAGGGCATTAATTAAAAGCCACATTCTTCCCATATATCAGAGTTAGGTGGGAGCAAGAATACATACAAGACTACAGGATACTGAGAAAGCATAGCACAAGAGAGGAAAGAATAAGGAAAGGCTTAAAAAATTATATGTAAGCTGAGTCTTGAATAGATGTTAGCTAGAGAATGTCATTTGAGGACCTATTGTTGATTTGGGGTGAACCATTTCCCCCACATTTGTATTCTGAACATTTTAAAATTAAAATGAGAAAAATAAGTCTTGCCCTGGACAGGTGACTCAGTGGGGTTGGGGCATTGTCCAGGACACCAAAAAGGGTCTGGGTTAGATTCCTGGTCAGGACACGTACAGGAAGCAATCGATCAATGTTCCTCTCTCACACTGATCTCCTCCTTCCTCTCTACAATAAAAGCATCAGGGAGGATTAAAAAGGGAAAAAGATAAAAGTCTTCTCTAGAGAAATCAACAGGGCTAAAGGTTACAGGAAAGTAATTTTTTCCCAAGTAATGGGAGAGCTGAGAAGGTTAAGGAGCCAGCAGACTGGAAGAGGGGTTGAGGGTGATGCCACGGTGATAAAAGGCTCAAGGGACTACAGAGGGAAAGAAGAAAGGAGTGAGTGAGTGGGAAGACCACTCTTGAGAAGTTTGTTATTGATCAGGAGAAGAAAAACAGACTGAGGGAAATTATATTTAGGACAAGAAGAAAATAGGAGTGACAGGATCTTGGCAGCAAAAGATATTCCTCCTGGTCCTCTTTTTTAAACAACAAATTAGACATCCATTTGTGGGCAAAAGTGCCTTGGTAGTAGGCCCGATTAGGTTTGGACAAAACGAATAAAATGTATCTTCTCTGTTTATAAAAGAATGGGAATCCAGTCTTTTCTAGCTCATTTAAAGAGAATCATCAAGATTTGAAAAGATTAATCATCTTATAACCTTTTAGTAATTCCGGAAACTGAGTACCTACTAATGGGAGGGCCAGACAGGTGGGACTGTGGACCACACGCTTTTAGTTTGTCTCCAGTATAAACCTTGTGATTTGTTTTCAGTGTCTTCCTGCTCTTGATCCTCAAGCCAAATGTGGGGGCTCTGCTAACAAATAAATCACTCTGACATTTCAATTTGGATCTTTCAAGGGTTTAGAAGGGAGTCGGTCAGAGGCACAAAGAATGGTCTCTGGCAGTGTCCGGAGGGCCCTGCACAGCTGCCTCCTGGAGAGCGCCTCACCCGGGCCTGAGAGACGCAGGCATTCGCTGCTTGTCCTGATCCCTGGCTGCCCTGAGCCTGGGCCTGAACAGGAAATAGAAAATTCGAGTTCAAAGACAGGGTGAGGGAAGGAGCAGGAAGGTGGCAGAAACCTTCCTGTTGGAACTGAAGGAAGACAGTGCCCTGTAAGGAGTCTCCCGGCGCCTGGCATCAGCACGGTCAGTGCTCCTGGGCTCCAGCAGGTCCCTACCTGGAAACGATCTTTTCCCTCGAGTCTGTTTGCACCTTTCATTCCTCTCTCTCGAAACAACAGAGACCAAAGCCAGCGGCTCTGAGACCCACAGTGCAGCTAGGGGTGGCAGCTGCCTCCCAGCCCTATCGGACCAAACCAGCTTTTTAGAAACATCCAACTCAGATCCATATTGAACTTTTCTTTGCAAATCCATCTTTTCCCCGGACTGATGTAGCAATTAGGACTGGTTCCTTCATACACATTCTTGCTTGGTTCCTCAGACATTTGCTAGTTCCTTTAGTTCAGGAGCCATGTTCCAAGGGTCTCGATCTGAGACACACCCCCTTTCTTTCCTCCACCTTCTTTCCCCTAAAAAAACAAAACCCTCAACTCTCACAGTATATTCTCAAACAATTCTTTTTTA